AGCATGCAGGTTGTATGCGGAAAGGTTTCCTTTAAGAAATCATGCGGCCGCGCGGATGTTTGTAAATTTAGCTACTTGACTTCGTGGCACAGGATATTTAAACGCATAACGAGGAGGTCACACTCGAAGACCTGCTCAACCTCAAATGTTACAAATTGAGGAAGACATTTTAGAAATGTTCGAAGAACCCAAAAATGGATACTAGAGCCATAGCAGCTCAAGTTCAAGTGTCTCATAGTTAAGTATGCAGGACATTTCTACAAGAACGGTATTATCCTTATTATTACAAGCGTTACAACCTGAAAAAGTTGCATTTTCCAGTGTCTTTTGGAACAGTTCGGTAGATTTTACGAAATTAATTTTGTGTACAGACGAGAGACCCCAATTACATGAAATGGAGTGCACAATTTTTACAACAAAATCCGCATACAATAAAATCAACTCATTTTCAAATAGATTTTTATTAAATGTTTGGGCTCGCGTGGTAAACGTCATGCTTAATGGACCCTATTGTTTTCTGACCGGTGAAATTTATTTAGATTTTCTCCAACACAATCTGCCACAATTATTATTAAAATATGTTCTCCTAAATGTGAGATAGAATATGTGGTTCCTACATGATGATATTTTAGTCGAGAAGTTCATGAACATCTAAATAATGAGTTTCCGAATAGATGGTTGGAGCGCAATGGACCCATTTCTTGGCGTGCTCGCTCCCCGGATTTAACGCCTTGCGATTTTTTTCTGTGCGACTATTTGAATGAGTTGTTGTAAAGAATCGTGGATTCGCTGAGCAAGAATTTTCGCTAATCGAACAAATGGGGACAATTATTACCAGTTTTGTATAAACGGTATCTATTTAACATGATTTTTAATAACTCTCTCATTATTCAACTTCTATACAGGTGAGTTTTGGTATATAAACCTTTTTGGACGAGTTCTACAAGCTGTTAAAATAAATGACTCAACTTTGAAAGTGCTTTTAGCAAGGTTGACTTAAAATTCAACGTAGATTTTAACTAATTCTTTTGAATTCCCCGTTCAATTTAAAACAAATAATTTTTCTTGAATTGCTATTTTTAGATGTGCCTTTTCTGAGTAAAAAAATAAAAACTGTCTAACTTGCAAAATTTTTATTAATTTAATTGGAAAAATTAAACACATTAGGGGTAATGAACAACAACAACTGACAACATAAACATGACATTAAAACCAACGAAATGATTACAAAAATTGTTGAAAATGGCCCCCTCCTTGTCTCATGGAATTGCGCACTCGTTGAAATATCCCTGGAGTGTTTTTTATTCTATCACAAGCTGCAACTTTTCTTTTTCTTAATTACTCTACAGTGTTAATGGGACTTGTGTACACTAGTGTCTGAAGATAGCCCCACAAAAAGAAATCTAAACTGCTGAGGTCTGGGGACCTTGGTGGCCATTCTTGGGGCCCACCGCGGCCAATCCAACGATTTGGATAAACAGTTTGTAAATAATTACGAACCGCTACACTGAAATGCGCTGGTGCACCATCATGCATGAACCACATATTGTTTCTTATTACTAACGGAACATTAGCAAGCAGCAAAGGCAACTGTTGTTGAAGAAAATTGAGGTAAGTCTATCCGTCAAGTCGTCCCGGCAAGAAGAATGGGCCAATACAGTGGTAGCCAATAGTTCCTGCCCATACGTTAACCGAAAATTGTTGTTGGAAATGGGTTCCGGTTACAGCAGAGGGATTTTTCTTCTATCCGCAAATGATTCTTGTGGAAATTCTAAATGGCATTTCGAGAAAAATTGGCTTCGTCCGTAAACAGAATCATTAATTCAAATTGTGGATTTTGTGTAATTTTTTGAAGATACCACTGACAAAAGGTCACACACCTTGGAAAATCAATGGGAAGTAATGCCTGTACTCTTAAAATATGGAAAGGATATAACAGAAAATCCACTAAAATTCTCCAAAAAATTTTATGGCAAATATTTAAGTGTCTAGCGATCTACCTTGTACTCGTTTCAGGATGGTCTTCGACTTCATGCAGCACTGCTTCCTCAATTTCAGGTGTTCTCACACTCAGAGGTCTACCTTCAGATGTTCCTTTTCGGACAGAACCAGTTTCAACAAGACGACGATGAATATTAGAAAAGGTTCGACTATCTGGCAAAGCACGATCGGGATATCTCTGGTGATAAATACGTCTGGCTTGCTCACCATTACCGTCGGCAAGGCCATATACGTAATTCATTTCCGCCATTTCTGCATTCGAATAATTCACCATTATTAACAAGATTGTAAAAACTAAATCATGAAAAAGATGTCACCGCGAACAGATTTGAATAACAGAGACTTGTCAGATGTCAAAAGCCAGTGACATATTCCAGAGCAACTAGATATTTATTGCATTCTTCAATTATTACATTAATTTTCTCGGACAATAGAACAGTTTTTATTTTTTTACTCTAAAATAGCGTATCGAAGGAAAACAATTCGTGAGAGATCATTTGTTTTAAATTGAACGGGGAATTCAAAAATAATTTTTATCTGGCAAAAAACCATTAGCGTACCATTTTTTTCATAAAAAATATCGAAGTCAATACCCATACGCACGCCACTGTTAAAGCTATAAATTATTTTTCCATTGGGAAATTTGCTTCTTTATTAACTTTCACCACGTACTAAATAACAGTGAAATATCTGAAGTGGTTCTGAAAATATTAATTTCCATTTTTTTCCCTAAAACTTCAACACCCCGATTTTTTGTAAGGGAACATTTTTGGACCATACTTTATTAAGCAAACTAACATTAATTTTTCAAGTACATCCACACCCTTAAGTATTCGTATATCATTAAGGAACACCCTGTATAGCGCCTTTTTCATTACTTTTAACTAGTGCACCATTCTTTTAGAGTGCACAGCTTTCATCAGTCAGTAAATCTCAGTCACCACCAGCAGCACCAACGCTGGCTCTTGAGCATATTGTGGCTCCCTCGAAAACTAGAACTTACGTACCAACGAGACGCCTTCGCAACATGGACGCTTAGGCAACGAGAATTAGGCGACGTATCAGGAAGATTCTACCGTCATCGAGAATCATCGTACAAGCTTCGATAAGGACTCACGCTCTATCTGGAAGGCTCTGGATTGGTCGATCTTAAATAAATACGCGCTACGACTGTAGAATGGGATCATCAAAGAGTCAACAGCGCAAGATGCGATAGTCAAATCGATATAGTCATAAATTTGTAAAAAAATTAGCTACAAGTGTCGTTATAAATTAGTGTGATCCTTCTTGTCTAATCGGAGAAGTTTGGATGGTAGAAACTACCACCTACCTGCGGACAGCTTGAAAAGCTTCATCGTGTCGTCTTTCTGTTTGTTGGAAAATTCTCCTTCATCTTATCAAAGAAACAGCTGACCCATCCTTCCAACTTTTCCTATTTCAAAGAGTCAAAGTAGACCGTGTAGCGCGTTTCAAATGAAAATGCATAACCCGCATTTCTCCGATTTTCGACCAAGTTATTCGTACACTTTCCGGATATCTTATAAAATGCCTTTGAATGAAAATGTGCCGGATCTTTATCTTAATATCCGGAAGTTGATGGGCTTCGAACGAATGCACTCAGAGGCGTCCTACAACTATTTTTGAAGGGGAAATATTACGCGCAATAGGGAAGATAAGGTACTTTTGTTTTACTTTCAGTATGAAAGATTCCATGTATTTATATGTTCACAGTATATGAACTATGCCATATGGTTTATTTGACTGAATAGTACGATTTCTTTGTGCCAGTCTCACAGTCAAACATAGGAAAGTTCCTAAAGAGTTACGCTTCATCTAAGAGCATCGTAAGACTGATATTGACATACACCGCTTAAGTGCAAGTTTAATACTACCAAACTAGATATACAGTGTTTTCCAGAAAAAAAAAAGATTTTGACTTTGTTTTTTACGTAATGCTTTGTATTTTACTACATACTCGGATGTACGTTTCCTAGAGAAGAAAATTGATCCAACATGCTTACACCGTTTTGTTGATTGGCTGTTCAGCTATAAAAAGTTCAATATACAAAAGCGCAAAACTTTGACAGCCGGTCAGATCGCCATTTTGGTAGACTGATTTTATATTACAGGATCACAAAGTAGTTGTAATGAACTTCAAAATGAGGTATCACACAACCACCATTCTATTCTATGCAAAATGGCGCATATACACCATTTTGATTATTCATATGCACTTTTACGCTTAGGGGCCGTTCAAGTATTACGTAAGCAGACTTATTACAATTATTTACCGCCCCATCCCCCTTGTTAGCAAAAGTAAGCAAAGCTCTTACCCCCTCCCCCCATGATTACGTAAACATTTGTCAATTAATGTATTGTTTTTTTTAATATTATGATTATAACGTTATAATTATAATTTGAAAAATAAGCAAATAGATTTATATTTTACTGATACGGTATTCAATATAGAGTAAAGGACAAAAATATTATATCTTACTAACATAACAACCTTATTTTAAATTTTTGGTACATTTATTAAATTCAAATTAAGTCTTCAGTCCATGAAACCCGAATCCATGATTCTAAGTTTTCGATGACATTGGATTGCTTCGATTGCTGCTCAGTATTGTGAGTTTGCTCGCTTTCATCAGATTTTGGAATATCTACGTCGTTCTCATCGAGCCATTCAACATCATGGTGCTCTAAATTTTGAATAATGCACATCAGTTCATTAGCACGACGAGTAGCGACTCTTACAGGTCTAACTTTCCTATCAGTGTACGTGTTTACTTTTTTATGGATATTTTCGATGTGACGATTTAGTGACGACGGAAGCATGATAAAGACCACACGTTTTGAATGTTCGACTTGATAGCTTCAATTTGCAGGAAATCTTTGAGTGAAGCACTTAAGCGTAGAGCTAAATTGACTGGAAGATTAAGAAATTGCCCTCCTTCATCCAAAACCAAGTCATCAACTGTGTGTTTTTACTTTTACAGGTGGTGGAAGAAACCTATTGTCTAGTAATCTAAATAGGTCACTTCTTGGACGACACTATTCTGTATTTCTACATTTTACAATTTGAAGCAAGTACTGGCTCTCATGCACAAGTTCTGAATACCATTTAATGTCTGGAAAATCAGGAAGATCTTGTTCACCCGCCCTAACATATTTTGCATTAATATTATAGCCATCAATTTCCATTCAACTCCATACTTCAGCTAATACATTTCCTGCAAATTCGAAATTAGATCTTTCTAAATGTTCATCCAAATGAGACCCAAAATGGTCACGAGGCAATATTAAACCAGCCACTTCCCGACTAAAAGGAATGATTCTGCGCTCTACTCTATTATACGCACTTCTTCCAGGAGCATTGGTAGCTGAAAACAATGCATCGAGATCATGTCGCTTAAAGTGTTGCATAGCAAACCCTATGACTTTTTGATAACGTGGATTTTCATCTGGCCCTCCATCAACCGTCATGATTACCACTGGTTTTACTAGTCGATGGTCAGTTTTAGCTAATGGTCGAAACTCTTCAAGTTCGAGAAGCGTCTCGAAATCCTGAGCATGAGTATTAGCAGTAGATGACTATGCTTTCCACACGAATAGCGATGTATGTTGGTCCAGAATATCCAACGGCTTGCGGTTGTCCTAGCATATTGGAAGTGATTTTGATACCAGCATAAACAGATGGTATTAATTTATGACGCTCAGCGATTACCCAATCGTGATCAGGCAATTTGATTCTATATTCCATGTGCATCAGAAGAGGTGCTTGCTTATTTGCCGCAGTTACGCCAATAGGGACTCGATCTTTATCATCTTGAGATATGAAAAATACTTGATCTGGTCCAACTATGGATGCTATGTTCTCTAAATAATGGATTGATGTTTCAGCGAATTTGCTATCGAAGTGGCTCTTGTGGTGATCAGTTTGAGCCCGAATGAGCTTAATAGGACTGTCGATACATGTCTGTCTTCGTCCCTCTGCAGAATTAGATTTTCTGGGAATCAAACGAAGATATGTCCACTGCGACTAACGTCAAATCCTATTTTATGTAATTCTTGTGTGAGTTCATCAAGAGTTTTTACGCTGCGAATTGATTCCGTTCGTCTTCTATCATCTGCTGCAATCCCAAATAAAGCTATATCCGCGATTGTTTTCAATAGTGAATGTTGATTGCTTTCAAGATTAGGACGTCCCACTGAATCCCTCATAGATATTATTTTTTTATTTCTGGATTTTCATGACAAATATCTTCTAACTTTCTTTTCATACCATCCCTGTGTTTCGTCTGAGCAACTGCGTTTTGAACCTTCCTGTTTAAAGACTGTTTTGCTGTTTTTATTTCCTAGCGCAACTTAATGATCTGTTTATCAACTTCAGCACGGCTTGGCATAGTATCTCTGGCAGAATACAAAGCATTCAGATTTTTTTCGAGTATAGCAATCTTATTTTTCATAGCTTCCTGAGAAGGTTTTGCTCTCTGTTTATCTGTATTTTCATTAATTTCGCATTGCTGTTATGATTCATTACCGGGTTTTATTTTATCTTCCTCCTATTTTTTAATATTTGAAGCTGACTGTATAATTTGTGTTTTTTCTGCAGGTTTACAGATTGCCTAAAAATAAAAACTTTCTATGGATTCTGCTAACGATTCTCTTATTAAGCTACATAAATGTAAAGTATGGCAGTATACATATGGTAAATACAAAACCCTATGGCTTCAAATCTAATATGTCTAAACGAGCAATTCGTTCTGGTCACAAAATACAGGGTGTTAGTTTTCTGTATATATGTATAAAACTTTTTGGCGATTTCTAATATTTCTAGTACTCATAGCTACCTAAAATGATTTCGTCACTCACCTTAGCGAAAAAGTTTAGTAGATTGGATTTATTCTTAGTCGCTGCTTGCAATTCTTCTTCGATTCTCTTAGATACAATAATATCTAGTTCCTTGTCGGATTTTGCTTGTAATTTGTAATTTCGCCACACTTCGTTAACTAACTTTTGTACATTTTGTACTTTCGTACTTGTATGAGATTTTTTAAAACTTTCAAACAATTTTTGGTATAACTTGGATTTGTCTATGTGAAACGACATCTTATTTAAACATTAAACTTTGGCTAATGGAATTATTGGTAACATAAATGTTAACTTGCTTTACTAGGCTATGCAATACGTCTACTCGCTAAGTATCCAAACGAAACAATACACTGATAGAGGAAATTTAGTGAACACCGCGCGGTAATTCCCCTACTCGGTTCTAAAGCGAGTAGGGGAATTACCGCGCGCTGTTCACTAAACGTATGCATTATTTGCGGGAATCCCCGGAAATGCGTTTCGTCTTCAAGCAAAGACAATGTGAGGGTTGCCATTCGTGTAAAAAAGTGAATAACTACCGATGACGTAATCATCATCTAGACTCCCCTACCCCTCATGTCATCCAAAATAAGCAAAACAAAGAACCCCCCGCCCCTCCCCTAGTGCTCACGTAATACTTGAACGGAACCTTACGTATAATATTCAAGCATTAGTCTTACTGCCTCAAATTTCAGCTTGCTAACTTGACCCGTTCAAAAAAAGAGTAGGGTGGGAGACAACGTCGAAATTGAAGTTATGGCAGTACTGAATTCGGGTAGCGATATATAATACTCTATTTACTACGTCAAGCTTCAAATATTACTTATACACTTGATTTTTGTCCCTATCATTTTCACATTATCAAAAAAATATGTTTTTTGCCATTATTATACAAGGTGTAATAAAATTGGCAATATTACATTGGAACCAGTCCGACCCTGTCAGTCTAAATGAGTGAATTGATTTCTATTGGCTCCATCGTCTCATGCTCCAACTTCTTCCTGGGTGCTGTAAGAGGTTTTTCATAGGACCTTGTCGCATTATTACTTTCCACGTAAACTGGCTAGAAATTATTCTAACGGGGAGAATTTTGAAGAATGAAACATCATGAGTTTTTTTGATGTTGTATGACATGTGCTTCACGAAAAACCATATCACTCATTTCCGTCGGTCTTTTTGTCCGCTAATCCTCGACCCCTCTATAGCTTGGAAAGTACTGCTTGGATTTTGATGAAATTTTGACACAAGGCTCCTGCTAAACCAAGGACAAAAAACCTTTGTAGTTTTTCAAAATGGGACTTTTTGCGGTGGAACTAGGAACAAATGAAGCAAGAATAGAAATCGGCCAAAATTTGTTTTTATACGTTTCAGAGGCTCCTGGTCGTTCTCGGACCTTTTTTGTGTGAATTTGTGTATATTGATAGTTGGGGGCAGTATGTGGTGGGGATGGGTGTATTCCAATTTTTTTATGTTAGCATAGTTTTACGCTTTCAACCCCAGTAAAATTGCACTTAAATGATAATAGTAGAGTATTTTCAACATGTAGAGATACTTGCGTCTAGGTCTGACCTATGTCTGATGTATGGACGATGACCGTTGAGTGGCGAGGCTAGTCAAACTACGTTGTCAGATGGTCGGTAGTATACGTAGCACAGACGAGAAATTTCTAGACTGCATTTCTGTCAAATTGATTGGGACCATAGATTAAATGTATGGTCCTGTTTGATCGACTATCCAATTTTGTACAATAAGTAATACATGTTTGCAGCCTGCTTTTTTCTCACAGCGATCAACTTTTGCGGAACATAGTTCTCCTTGAACTGTGGTAGCATTGAGTTAGAGGAGTATAGACAACCTAAGTGACGCCATTTTTAGTCTAATCATATTAGCAAATTTCCCCGAAATAATTGTAAAGTCTGGTTTTATTGGTACAAGTTGTACAAGGAGGTATTTAAAACATGGACGCATAAAATGGCTACACCAATTTTTGTGGGAAAACTTTTTATTTGATAACAAAGAATGAAAAAACGTGTTTTTTAGGATTCGATCGAAAGTATTGACAGGAGCGTAAAAACTTCTAATATAATGTTTTTAGGGATTTATCAGACCTACAAAATGAGACCACACGTAAAAAGATATGACTAATAGAAAAAATGTTATGGCCGAAAAACGAAACAAAATGCAGGTTTTGGCAATTGTTGGTAATCCGACGATAATATCACGCAACTACTTGAAATTTTTCGAATCCGTAGGACTCTTACTTCTAAATAACAACAACGAAATTGGAGTATATTGCTCAAGTATTTTTTTAATTTCTGATTTTTTTTACCTGTTTTCCGACCATCACTACTAGTGTCAAAGAGCATTTAATAACAAACTACACGTATTTACCTTGCCGTTTTTTTTTATAAACAATTTCAAACATTTCGTATTTGTGAGTAATTGAACAAATACGCTATGATATTTGACAAACATACGTTACTGTTCACATTTTAAATCAAAGCGGATGTGTCTATCATCTTTTGTTGCAACTTACACATAAATACGAAATGCTTGAATTTGTTTAGAAGAAAAAACGTAACCCATCCTTTTTTGCATAAAAATAACATTTATCTTCCGGAATGGTTTGCGATTCATATCGGCAGGGTAATCTAGTGTATTTTGCTATAAAATTCCCTTTGAACTAACCCTGTATATTTCTCAATAAACTAGTACTGATAGCCGGAACAGGTGTTTCGAGATAAGCAGTTAGATATTCTCCAAAACTACTTCACCAATCTCCTCCAATTTTGTTGTGGTTATTTTGAAGTACGAATTCTACAAATTTGAAGAATTTCAAATATCTGCGAGAAACCGTCGTGGTATTACCAAGTGTGGAAACCTGCAGTTTTCCTCGGTTTTCGGCCATAACTTTTTTGGTATTTGTCGGATATTTTTACGTGTTGTCTCATTTTGTAGGTCTTATAAATACCTAAAAATCTTATATGAAAAGTTTTTGCGTTTCTGCCAACACTTTCGATTGAATCCCAAAAAACACGTTTTCTCATTCTTAGTTGTCGAATAAAAAGTTTTCCCACAAAAATTGCTGTACCCATTTTATGCGTCCATGTTTTGAATATCCCCTTGACAACTTGCAGCAATAAAACCCGACTTTACACTTATTTCGCAGACCATGGGTATTTTCGTCTAATATGATTAGGCTATTTGTGTACAGAACGGTAAGATCTTGCTAAACCGGTTCGTGGG